AGAGAGAGACAGAGAGACACACAGAGAGACAGGTAGTGAGTTTCTTTCTCCAGTATGACAATAAAGACACATGTGCTCTGCTTCTGCTCAAACTGTGTGCTTGCACTCAGATAGACTGTTACTCGCACGGATTTCCTGCTCCAGCTTCAGCCCTTCTCCGCACTCGGGCTGCTGTCTGTCCGCTCGTGAATCGTCTGCTCTCAGAGTTCTCCTGTGCGCTTGGAATGTTTTATGCAACAACCCTGTGAAAAATTCCCCAACCAATAGAAAGACAGGTGTAGTGTTGACCACCAATCACAGAAGTCCTCTGTAGACCCGACCATCTCATTTGGGTCCTAAGGATTCAGCCCCTGGACTGAGACACAGCTACACACGTATGCGTATGTATGTGTGTGTGTGTTGGGTCTATGTTCGGCAGCAGATGAACGTGGTTCTGTAGTGTGTGTGTGTGTGTGTGTGTGTGTGTGTGTGTGTGTGTGTGTTACCTGAGGTTCAGGAAGGTCAGGGCCTGCAGGTTGAGCAGACTGTCGGGCAGAGACCTCAGACAGTTCTGATAAAGGTTCAAACTCTCCAGAGACACAAAGAGACAAACGTCCAGAGGAAGCTCCGACAGACGGTTACGAGACAGATCTATAGAGAGAGACACATCAGGTCATCACATCACTGACCAATCAGAGCTGGACATCTACAAAAGGTCCAAGCCACACCAGCTTCAAGGCTGCATCCACACATCAATCACTGTTGCTATGGTTACGCCTGGTGGAGTTTTCAATGCTCTAAATCAGAGACGTATCATCACCAGTGTAGGTGAGCGTTCATGTGACGTGTGTTTTCAGGTGTGTTGATGTGGGCGGAGCCTGGCGTTAACAGTCACATCTCTGAGGATGAAAACTGCTTCTTTGTTTAATAAAGAATATAAATGACTCATCACTGAGTCTAACTGTGTCCTTGATAAAGAATTTGCAGTTGTTGTGATTAACTGACATATAGAGACACACTGTGGCATCATAGGCTCATTGCAGTTCCATAGCTGACCACTGATTTGAAAGCCTGGGAATTGTGTGGCGCTGCGTCGTGCTCTGCCCACATGAATACTTAACATTCAGTGTAGAAGAAATCAGCATGGGAACCCTTGAGTGTGAGAGTGATCACAGTATAAACTTGTGACTGAGTCTAAATATAGAAACCAAACCTCCAACAAGAGTCTGTGTGTTTATCTGAGGGTCGTTATCCAATCAGATCACTGCTCACTGAGTCACATAACGTGTCACTACAGGAGTCAACAAAAATTCCTCTAATCTTGTCTTTGATTTTATGAATTGTTTTAACTTCTCTTCTTCTGCTTGGTTTATTGGCAGTGGCAGCCAACGTCAAGTTGCATTACTGCCAACTACTGGATCAGCTTATACTTTTCCATAAACACTTGCAAAGTAATCTTGCCTACAAATACTTCCTCTCTACAGCCGCTCCTAACATCCTGATGACTGCACAGCAACATCAGGGCATCTACACCTGGCTGGCAGGATGTGCACATCACCATGGTAACATCTATTTCCTGTTATACAGCTGTGATCCCCCCCCACACACAGGTGTGATGACGTGCTTTAATTCAGGAAGTTCTTCCATGTCCTGTTTTAGAAACAAGTCGTTTTTTCAAGTTGATAGTAACTATAGCTCAGACTTGCACAGAATTACAGATAATCTCCTGACATGATCCTGACATGTTGCTGACGTGTTCCTCACATGTTCTGTAAGTGAGAACAAATGTCTGAATCAGTGTCTCTGGACATTTTCTGGATCTTCTCCTACAGCCTCCTGGTAGGTTTCTAACACGTGACGGACGTGAAACTGAAGAATACAAATGTCTCAGGATGAAGAAGAGGAGCCGTACATGTAGAGGACGAAGACGTCCACTTTGAAAGACGAGGAGGTTCCAGATGTTCCTGCTGCTCTACAGGCTCCACCCCTCACCTGAATGTCCCCACATGTTCCTGTTGTTGTGAACGAGTCGACAATCTGCTGCACACACTGACTCCACAACATGACTACACAACATGACTACACACAC